GGCTCCCCCTGAGCAGCACCCCCGCCCTGGCCCAGCGCAGGCTTCCCCTGAGCAGCACCCACGCCCTGGCCCAGCGCAGGCTTCCCCTGAGCAGCACCTCCACCCTGGCCCAGCGCAGGCTTCCCCTGAGCAGCACCTCCGCCCTGGCCCAGTGCAGGCTCCCCCTGAGCAGCAGCCCCTGCCCTGGCCGAGCACGGGCTCCCCCTGAGCAGCAGCCCCCGCCCTGGCCCAGCGCGGGCTCCCCCTGAGCAGCAGCCCCTGTCTCTGTTCTGGGTTCAGTGTAGTACAGAAGGTTTGGCTCGTGGCAGCAAGCTTTGTTTCTAAAGTACTAATTTATCATCATTGTCCCCTGGTACCTGTGACTTGTAGGGTAAACACTGTTTTACCTACTTTTTAAGACATTTAAGGCTCCCATGTCTAAGCAAGTTACTCTGCATCTCTGGCAAGGTGAGGATTTGCCCATCAGTGTCTCCAGGCAGCCCAGGCAAGAAGACACCAGCGGAGGATGCTGGCACCTGTGTCTGCATCTTCTTCTACTGTAGGAAACTTTTAGTATTTAGAGATTCAGTAAAATATTTCAGTACTTTACTGAGCCCAGTCTAATAGCTGCTAGGCCAGGCAGCCAAGACCATGGAGATTTTTTAAGTTGTCAGAACTTTTGCAGTAATTTTAGCAGCCACAAAAACAACAGATTCAGTCCCACAAAAAAAGGAAAGGGTGAGGGCGAGGGCAGAAGCCAGGGGCTCAGCACAGTAGCTTGCAGCTGGCAAGGGCCGGGCTGAGCTCCCCTGCAGCCCTCCACTGGAGCGCAGCTCTGCTGACGGCTTGGCTGGCGCCCTCGAGACTGCGCCCAACTTGTGAGCTCTAGAAGTGCACGGTGATAAAGTGGGCAGTTAACCAGAATGGGGGAGTGGCCATGCAGGGGGAGAGCAGCGGCCCAACTGCAGCCTCACCTCCACGTTCGCTTGATGAACGATCCCAAAGTCATTCAGTGGTGGGAAAGCCAGTCGACAGTTCTCAATAAATGGTGCTGGGAAGGCTGGATGTCCATGTGCGTGAGTGAAGTTGGACCCCATCGAATGCAGAAATGAACTGAAAGTCCATTAAAGAATCTAAATTTAGGCCGGGGAGATGGCTAGTGGAATAAGTGCTTCCCTGGCAAGCACAAGGGCCTGAGTTCAGTACCCGGTCCCACAAAAAAAAAAAAAAAAAGAATCTAAATTTAAGAGCTAAAATGATAAAGCTCTTCAAGGACTGTGTATAGCAAGAGAAGTCTTCATTACTTTAGGCTCGCCAGGGATTTCATGGCTATCACACAAAAAGCACAAATGAATAAATAAATAAATAGGACTTCATCAAAACTAAGAACTCTTATTGCATCAGAAGTCATCAAAGCAAAATGCTAGCCCATAGAGTAAAATTATATATATATATATATTCATCCAATGTATTTGGCACAGAGTCTCGTATGTAGCTCACACTCATAGTGATCATCCTTTTTCAGCTTTCCCAGCACTGGGATTACAGGTTGCTCCACCATGCCCAGTCTCAGTGGCCTGGCTTAGCGTGTCCAGGGTGGCTTGTGGAACCTAGGATCGAACCCTGGTCCCTGTGCTTGGCTAAGCAGGTCCTTAGTCTGCTGCGCTATCTCACCAGCCTCAAATTACTTTTTTTTTTTTTTTTTTAATGCATTTAGTACAGGGTCTACAGGGTCTCATTACAGAGATTGGACTTGTAGCGATCCTTCCTGTTTTTCAGCCTCCCGAGTGCTGGGATTATAGGCACATGCTACCACACCCAGTCTCAATCTTTGTCTTAGCACACCCTGGGGTGGGGCGGGCACAGCAGGCAGGGGATCAAACCCCTGGCCCTGAGCCTAAACAGGAGCTTTAATCCACTGAGCTGGCTTTCCAAATTACATATTAATGGGATTAATATTCACAATATATAAAAAGTTTGCAGTTTTAACAAAAAAAAATAAACCCAATTCAAAAATTAGGCAGGGGGGCTGGGGAGATAGCTCACAGGCATAAGCACCTGCCTGGCAAGCACCAGGACCTGCATGATGTGCTGGCCCCAAATGCTCCAGGTGTGACCTCTTGGCCGAAACTGGGTGTGGTGGCTCACACCTGTAATCCTAGCACTTGGGAGGTTGAGAGGGAAGGATCACTGAGTTTGAGACCAGCCTAGGGGTTATAAAAGTGAGCACAAGTCCTGCTACGAAGCTGCGGAGCAAGACCCTGTCTTAAGACAAAACAAAAGTTGGCACAGGTCGTGAGCAGATGTTTCTCCGCATAATATGGACAGATGACCACCACGCACATGAAAGCATGAAAGGGTGCTCGGCGTTATCGATCGTCAGGGAAGTGCAGATCACAAGGGTAGGGTATCGCAGCTCACCTGTGAAGATGAAGAAACGAAAAGTGACACACGTCGGGTATTGTCAGCGCTCACAGGTGTGCACCCCGTTCACAGCCACAGGAGGGGAAATGACCCAAGTGTCTGGGCAAGCGCAAGGACAGAGGTTGTATTGCACACTTGGATGGTGGAGGACTCGGGGTCAGGAACAGCGATGAAGTTTTGACATGTGCTACAGTATGTACCGTGAGAGTAGGCCAGATGAGGGCAGCTTTTACTTCATTTGATATTTATTTATTTATTTATTTATTGTGGTTTTTTTGAGACAAGGTCTTGCTGTATAGTTCCGGTTGCCCTGAACTAACTAAATAGCCCAGGCTGCCTTTGAACTTGCGGCAATCCTCCTGCCTCAGCTGGGATTACAGAGGGGGCACCACCATGCCTGCCTATGGACAGAGGTTGCTTTTTGTATTTTTTAGTTTGTATTCTTTTCATACAGGATCTCATTACACAGCTTGGACTCTAGTGATCCTCCTGTCTCAGCCTCTCCAGCACTGGGATTACAGGCGTGCACCACCACACCCAGTTTTGGGGTCAGCACAGCATGCCCAGCACAGCATCCAGTCCTGAGGATCGAACTCAGGTCCTTAGCTTGTCAGGCAGGCGCTTAGACCGCCAAGCTATCTCGCTAGCCCAATAGCTGGAGTTTAAGTGTTTCTCCTCATAGCAGGAACCAAGAGTAGGCAGTTCATAGAGAAGAGAATAGAGCAGTGACCAGCCACTAGGGAGAGGGGGAGGGAGGCAGCTAACTTCCAGTTGGCCCAGAGTTTATGTTGAGACTGATGAAGACTTGGTACACGTGGTGCTGCAGTTGTGTTTAGGTCATTTTACAAATTCTTAAGACAGATATGACACATGTGTCAGTTACATTACCACAGTAGACAGAAAGCTGCGGCAGCCGCCGGTGTGACAGGCAGGCGCTTGTCCTAAGCCCCAGACTGTTCCTCCGCAGGAGCCCAGCGGGTGGGTGCCCACCCCGCCCCGGCCGTGTGGGAGCCGTCTACAGCCCCAGGGGCTCAGTCCGCTTCCGGAAGTGCCCTCTGTTTGCGTTGTGCGCTTTGCGGTTTCTCACCCTGTTACCTGAGTTGATTTCTTCTTGGGTTTAAATTCCTGGGCCTTTGCCCCACACCGTCTCGTGGGTGTTGCCGGGTCTCTGGCCTTATACCGTGGCACGGTGGGGACCTCACATCTCCCTGCCGTCCATCCGTTCAGCTGCGGGGCGCGCTGGCCAGCCCGTGACCCTCCTCAGGCCAGACCTCCCCCGACTTCGCTGCTCTCTCCAGCTGTTTCCTGAGTGCCTCCCTTTGCGTTCTCCAAGCATCTCAGAATTAATTCTTCTCGAGTTAAACTTGCCCACGTCCTTCATGCCCCTGCTCTCATCCTCCCTGCAGCTCCACCCTGCATCCTCCTCCTCCCCCCACGTGAGTCGCTTGCACCAGAAGTGTCTGCCTGCACGTCCACCTGCCACTCATCCTCCCCAGGCACTGCGGGTCCCGGGACTGCTGCTGGACTCCTTGCAGAGCTGCCCACCCGCCCACCCTACCAGCAGAGCCCACTCGGAGCTCTGTGTGGCCCTTTTGGTCGCTGGCAGTCTTCTTTCCTTCCCTCTATTCTTGTTTCCCTGCCTGGAGTAAGCGCTTCATTCTTTAAGGCAGGTTGTCTTCTTGCAGGAAGAAGATCTGATCTTTAAGAGGACAAGGAAAGGAATTTGTAGCGAGGCGCCCTCTTTGACCCAAAGACGAACAACAGAAATGAGATGCGCAGCCACTATTAACAGAACATCATGTCACAATTAGCGGAGCAGACAGAAAAGATCAGACGGAGTTGGACAAAGGAGATGATAGATGAGCTGTAGATTAAAGGGAAACTAAAGTCTTTATAAAGATGAGATGTGGGGCCAGGGAGATAGCTCAGTAGAATAAGTGCTTGCCTGGCAAGTGCAAAGGCCTGAGTTCAATCCCTGGTTCTGCCAAAAGAAAAAAAAAAGATGAGATGTGACAAGAAGATATTTTCCAAAAAAAAAAAAAAGTATGAGAAAGGGAAAGATCGCAGCACATTACACATGCGGGACACAGCTAATGAGCCTCTTTGGCTTCAGCGTAGAGTGAAATGAGCAGAAGGCTGGCAACGGAGCGTAGGGCTGCAGTTGTGGGCAGTGGCGGAGGGGCAAAACATTCAGAGGGATGTTATTTTAGGCGCTTAATTAAAGTGCAGTCTCCCGATAGCAAAAGCCACTTATTTTAAGTGTGCAGTTCAGAGAATTTAAACAGTGTTTAATCAAGTACACAACAGCAGGTCTGAAATTACTGTGTTCCCTAAAATACTGCCCTGGGCCAGTGGGCAGGCGGCCTCCATCCCCTCCTTGTCTAAGCCCTGATCTGTTCCCTTGATTTTGCTTTTTCTAGAATTTTCTATAAATGGAATGGAACAGGGTATTGTCCTTCCTGTCTGGCTTTCTTCACTTAGTGTGGTGTGGAGAAGGAATGCTGCATCAGAAAATGTAGCCTTCTGGGCAGGGCCAGCTGGGGACACGACAGTCGGGAGACGGATGAGTTAGAGGATTGTTATTGCGTTAGTTAAGAATGGGGCACAGAATGTGAGCCAGGGTGATAGTGGTGAGAAGGAGAGCTTTCAGAAAGGCTTTTCAGATTATAATAAAGGCAAAAATTAAACATGAAATAGAAGGGCTCTGGGGAGACAGGAGTCGACATGGGAGAAGAGAGCGCAAGGTGTGGGATTTGACAGGGAGCATGCTGAAGAGAACAAGCGTCCTAGTGAGAAACAGAAGCGCCTCCAAGTGGATGGTAGTGGTGTAGATGCGGGTGGTCAGGAAGGAGCCTGGAGCTGAGAAGGGCACCAGAAGGGGAAGGAACTGAAAGAGGCCTGCTCGCTGTCCTAGTATACAAAGGTCTTTGGGTTTATTATAGACTGGAGAAAACCGCAGCACAGTTGGATTGTGTAAGATCGAGAAAGGAAGAGCTAGAGAGGTCTGATGCTAGAGTTGGGCTGGAAGCAAGAGGAGGCCGTGGGGCCAGGGCTGTCTCAACCTAGTATGTATGTAAGCACGTAGTTTTGCTGTGTTCCCTGGGCATCCTCCTGACTCGGCCTCCTGAGAGCGACTGGGCTGCAGCCACACAGCACTGCAACGAGCTCCTTCTCCCATCTTATTATAGAACAAATTCTAACTCCCAGTATGATGGGGTTTGGGTTTAGGGGAGTCATGAGTGGACTCTCAGAGGGGAACAGTCCATTAAAAGAAGGGACACCAGTGTGCTCCCTTTGCCACTTGAGGGTGCAGTGAGAAGCCCTGCGTGAGCTGCACCCTGACTGGGGGTGTCTGCTAGTTAGGGTGCCCCGACTGAGGGATTTGTTACAGCTGGACTGTCCTCCCACAGTGTCCAGCAGGAGAAGGAGGCCTCTGAGGCTGCAGAGCAGGGAGCGCCAGCATGCACTTAAAGCCCAGGGAAAGTAGAGTGATGATGAGGGTGACAGAGAGGTCCTCACAGTACGGCAGAGGTAAAATGGACAGACACTTGAACGTTTTCAAAGTGAATTGTGTATTGTCTTTTTGTCCAGAGAGGAGCTATGTTAACTGAGTCACATGATTTTCAGTTTTCTGCAGAGACCCCTTGTAAGGATTAAGGTTCGGGGGTCTGGGATATAACTCCGCGGCACAGTGCCTTCAGCAAGTGCAGGTTCTGAGTTTGATTTCTGGCACCAAAGCAGAAGAATCCAGGTTGTTTTCCAGGAGCCGGCTCCTTGTCCATTGTCACCATGCACATGGTAAAGTAGATAGGGCGCCACTGAGGCTGGAGTTGGGAGACCCCACTCCCCTGTGAGGTATGCGGCCTTCTCAGCCTGTGTCTCATTTTCTCAACTACAGAGTGAGGCATTTCTTCCTGTCTTGGGGATCATTTTATTAGAAAGACTTAAACAAGTTCTCATATATTATGAAGGGCTCGGCACTGGAAGACAAGTGTTGTGGTGCACGCCTGTGGCCCCACTGCTACTGTGGCTGAGGCAAGAAGATTGTTTTGTTTTGTTTGTTTGGTTTTCTTGCGGTACTAGGGATTGAACTTAGGGCCTTGCGCTTGCCAGGCAAGTGCTTATTCTACTGAGCTCTCTCCCCAGCCAGGAGGATTGTTTAGGCCCAGAAATTGGAGACCAATCTGGGCAACATGGCAAAGCCCCATCTCAAAAAAGAGTAAGAGTAAAAGTAAATAAAGAATTAAATGCGCAAAATTGGGCCTGCTGCATGTTGGAAATGATACCTGAACACCTAGCATTAAGAGTATTGGCTTCAATTATATCCATGACGGGCGGGCGGAATCGAGTTTCGCTGAAGCCAGAGCCCCAGCGGTGCTTGCAGCCTAAGATGAACGTTCTGTGTGCAGCTCCATGTGAGCCCCTCGACACACGTTGCTGGGTTTAACTCTCAGCAGCACCACCTGCCGGGCACAGTGCTCTCCCCACTAGGAGGAAAGTGGAGGCATTTGGTCAGTGAGTCCTTCACAGTACTCTCATTTCCAGATCTTCCGAGGTCAGTGAATTCGACTCTATTCTCTGTACCCTCTAATACTACTCAGGCCAGCAGCACATGTGAAGCTACTTCCTGGAGTGGGGTCTGAACCAAGAATTTGAAGTTGGCCCTGGAGAGATAGCTCGGTGGTCTAAGCACTTGTGTAGCAAGCGCAGAGACCCAGGTTTGATCCCTGGTGCTGCAAGCCGTGCCAGCCCCAGAACCCTGGGCATATCATGCAGGCCGCCGAAAGTGGGCGTGGGCATATGCCTGTAATCCCAGCGCTGGGGAAACAGGAGGATCGCTATGAGTCCATGCTGCATAGTGAGACCCTGTACCAAATAAATGAATAAATAAAATTTTTAAAAAGTCTTTGAAGTCAGCAGTGTTGGTGGTAAAGTTGACTGAATATGAAAAGCTCATCCTAAACGAGTCCTCAAACTTGGGAGAAACACTTTTATAGTTTATGTCCAGACTGCACGGAGACCTGATGGGTTACATCTTGCCTGTTATGCCCGTTGTCATTTCGGCTGTCTCTGCTGACTGGTTTGTTTGTATCTTCTTTCTTTTCTCAGAATTTCCTGATGATGTTAATCCACTTACCAAAGAAAAAGGTGGACCCAGGGGCCCAGAGCCGACACGATATGGAGATTGGGAACGGAAGGGACGATGCATTGATTTCTAGGACCTAGCCTTCAGCTTCATTCCCACTCTCTGAATATGTACATGTGAATTTCCTACTTCAGATTATGTTCTTTCTTTTATATCCTTCAAATTGTGTGTGTGTGTGTGTGTGTGTGTGTGTGTGTGTGTGTATAACCAGAAATTGAACTGAGGAATTTGTACATATTAGGCAAGTGCACTGAGCTACATCCTTAGCCCCAAATCAGCTCATCTCTGTCATGTGTTTAAATATGTATACGATGACTTTGGAAGCTATCATTTAGGAAAAGCATTTTTACATTATGCATATTAACATTAACAAATATATTGTTATGTAAGGGATCGTTAGACCTATAAACCTTTACTTCATAATTTGTTAATGAGTTGCTCGCTTGCAAAATGCATGTGTAAATAAAATATTTTAAGTGATTATGATGCTATCTGCTAGGTTGCTACTCACTTTTAAGATGTGAGGTAAATAGTATATTTTAGCTTGAAAAGGCTACAATAAGGGCAGAGAAGTCATTGACCTTCAGCCAGTTATCTGGATCTAAATCCTCCACTACGTGGCATCTCCATGACCTTGGAAAGCTATTAGACTCTGCTGTGGTGCCCTTATGTGGACTTTGGAGTAAACACTAGCTCCGCCTCCAGGGCAGCTGGGAGGACTGAATGAGTGCATGCACATGCATTACGGGAGAGAGATTGGGACATGGCTCATTATGAGTCTCCTCTCGTTGCTGGGACATAAATACTGGACACCCAAAATGAAAGAAGGAAAGGTTTATTTAGCTCACAGTTAGTGGAGGTTTCCATCCATACTCCACTGGCTCCAAGGCACAGCGGCACGTGGCAGAGAGGCGGCAAGGAGCAAGGGGAATCGCAGCAGCTCAGGCAGCCCCTAGCTAGCCTGTCTCCCCTCCTTGCATTGTAGTGCAGTGTTTGCCCCAGGGTGCGCACACCCGCAGCCCCAGCACTGCATCAGGAATCACAGACTCCAGAAGCCACCCCTGAGTACACGAGGCTTTGGGGGGAGACCAAGGCACAAACCATAACAATGGCAAGTTGGCTTCTGAAGATTCCAGAGGCGGAGATGACTTGAATTGGCCATCTGCTAGTTATAGACATGGGAAGGTCAGAAATGCCCTTTGGTTCAAGTTCACAGGCCTGAGAGTCGAGCCAGCGAAGGGCCTTCAAGAGAAATCCACTTCAAGGGAAGGGCCTGAGGCGAGATGTCCTGGTTCCCAATGCGATACAAGGCAAGGGGACTCCTCCTGTCTCTGCTTCCGTCCTGTCGGACCCGAACGTAAGACATGCTCACCTTCCCGCGGCCCCAGGGACAGACGTCTCCACCAGCTCTGATGGCCAAAGATTACTCTCAAAGCAGGCGCGGGGCAGACGCCTGATGTCCCAGCTACGGCAGAGCCCCTGTGTTGGAGGCTACCCGGGCAGCATAAGATGCCCGCATAAACATAAGGAAACAGAAAGTGCGTGTGTCAGCCAAAGCCCTGTGGCTGGTGCCTCTGGGTGCCCTAGTCTTCTCGGTGGCTGCGACCCGTCAGCCCTCATAAAATGTGAGCCATCCGAGGCTGCATCGTGAATATTCTTTCCAAATCTGTAGGCTTCCTTCGGGAAAGATCATAAAACCAAAATTTGAAATATTTAGGTTACTATGATAAATATTTTAATTTTTTTAATCAGATATATTTTAGTTAAAAATAGTGATTATATGGACGAACTGAACTGGAAAAATATGCATGCCTGAGGAGGAAGCTTAGGCATGGAAGACAAGTGGGAGAGAGGGAAGGGGCCCGGTTAGTTGGCTTCGGTCTCTGAAGCAGCTTGCTCGTGGCCGGTGCAGGGGAAGCGCGGTCTGGCTTAGAGACAGGAACCAAGCAAGGCCAAGAACTGCGGCTGCCCGAGAGCAGCAGCGCGAGCCTTCAGAGACGAGCGCCCACACTGCAACCCACAACCCACGCAGCATACGAGCCAGCAGTGCAGTGAAAAACCCGGAAACCCGATTCTTGGACCCTGGGGCCCGGGCTGCGGGTGTGCCTGCCACCGTGGCCCCGGGCGCCCTCTGCCCTGTCCCCAGGCTCCACGCAGTTGCCCAGGTTGGTCGTTGGACTCCCCGCAGCTTTCCTGCGTTACTCAGGGATGGGGCTCACAGACCCCACAAAGGGCAGTGCGTGCCTGCCGACTGTGGACGCGAATTCCAGTGCAGTGTGTCTGGGAGGTCGTGGGGAGACTTTCCTAAGGGAACACGTGGCATTCTCTCCAGGAACCACTCATGTGCCCATTAGAACCCGGTGTTTTCTGCATGTGGTGGCACGCGCCTGCAATCCCACCCCTGAGAGGCTGAGCCAGGGGGGTCATTGAGAGTACGAGGCCAGCCTAGGCTCTGTAATGAGTTCAAATACAGCCTGAACACACAGGGAAACTATCAAAAAGAAGAAAAAAGAACTTTTTTTTTTTTTTTTTAAACTGGTTGTCCACATCCGCTGTCAATATCTGCACTACTTGCAGTGACATGTGTATGCTGCTAAGTAATAACCATTTTGCTGTAAAAATTTCCTGTAATTTAGGCAGTTTCCAAGTAGTCCAAATTAGGGAATATTTACTGTCAATATTCCAAAAATAGTATGCTAAATTATTTTGTGTTGTACAAGTATAGTAAATGACCATAAAAAAAACCGAAACTTTTCTTGTGTACATTAATCATCACAATACTTGATGGGGAAAAAATAACTTACATACTTTAAAAACAAAATACTTCATAACCAGTCTTGTGTTAAGAAACTAGAATCCTTATTCACAGTAGCATGTTTCATGACATCAAATAACATAGGTTAGAATCGATGACATGAAAATATTGGTCTTGCTTCCACTAAACGCTGATGAAGACTTGGAAGATTATCAGTGTGGTGCTCAGAAGAGTTGATGCCGCGGCCACGGCAATGCACCACTCAGCTGTCCTGTGGGAAGCAGGGTGGACGCGCCCGTGGATGGTCCCGTGGCCCCACATTGAGCAGCTGTGGCCAGCCTGCTGTTGCCTGCAGCCCCTGTCCACCCACCTTCTAGAGGTCAGCACCCACCCAGGGGCTCCCCGCTCACCCTCCGCGCTCTGAGGCCGAACCAGGAAGGTCTCCGTCCTGCGCCCTGATGCCGGACCGCGCCTACTCCTCCTCTATTATTTGCAATGGTCTCTTTAAAATTTAGTCCTGTCTTGCCATCGTTTTCAAGAACCCACATTAACATGGGTGATGTTAAAAGAACAACTTAGTTTTCAGAATGTCACACAAAGTATTTAGCTTTTTCTACCACAATTATGGTTTAAGCATTTAATGCTACATTGCTTGGGATTTCTGGGAAATTACAGGCTGAGGTTTTATGTGTAAGGCTTATACCACGGAATCTTTTTCATATTTGGTGTTTTCTTTCCGTACAATTATGCACATTTTTTTCTTATTTCTGTGTCAATTGCTCGGGCTTACCATGAGCCAAATATAATACTATTTATTATTACACTTTTTTTCCTAATGTATTTAGTACAGGGTCTCACTACACAGATTGGACACATAGATAGCCTCCTTTTTCAGCATCCCAAGCACTGGGATTACAGGCACGCTCCACCACACCTAGTCTCAATCCCAGGGTGGGGGTAGGCCCGGCACGAGGGATCGAACCCTGGTCCCTGTGCTTTGCCTAAGCAGGTCCTTTAGTCTGCTGAGCTATCTGGCCGGCCCTTATTACACTTGTAATAGCAAGCTGAAGCTATCCACTGGATGGACAGAATAGTGTTAGAAAACTTTGTGATAACAATTATTAATGATGATCAGTGTTTTGATAATTTAATAACAGCACGGGAGTGTTTTCCACATAAAGGATGAACATGGCAGTGGGCAATTAGTTCAAAGAATGATACTGAATTGGAAAGCAAAATTTAAGAGGCCCGACCCACCGGATGTTGTTAGGTCCCTTGGTCCTCAGAAGGATTAACATAGTTCTTGAGGGGCCCAGTTCCGGCTTCCTGTCTTGCCTGTAGTCTCTCCTGTCTACATATGCACAGTCTCTCCACGAGAGCATCCGTCATGAGGTGACGCAGATGGGGGTAGGGCGCTCTCACCACAGCCAGTCCCATGATGTCTGGAGTTTCTCTCACAAAGCCATGAGCTTGCATATTCATGAGATTGCGTATTCATTCACTGGACTGAATTATTCAGTGTTGATTGTCTGCCAAGTGCTTGGTATTCAGGGAGGCTCTGGATTTTGAATGAAACCCTCCAGCCATGCTGGCGTAGTCTCGTGTGTTTGATTTGGCCATGAGCACAGCTCCAGAAGAAGACTGACTGAACACTGAATGTGTCCCAAGTGATTTTTACCCCACTGTAGCCAAACTGAGGGGAAGTCCCTTGAGTTGGATGAGCCCATCTCTTTCATGACTCAGAGGAGTCTTCAGAACCCTAGATTTTCATCTTTTAAAATCTGACTCTGTGGGATATTTTATTAAATACTCATTCTTGGCCAGGGAGGTAGCTCAACAGCTTAAGTGCCTGCCTGACAAGTGTGAGGTACTGAGTTCAATCTCTGGTGTGTACTAAATAAATAACTTCTTCTTTTGAGCCAGAACAATAGTGCAGTGTCTCAAGCACCTGCCTGGCAAGTGTAAGGTCCTGAGTTTGATCCCTGGTACCAAATAAATAAGTATTCATTCTTTGATCAGTTGTTTTCTGGCCTTGCTCTTTAGAAGTCTGCGAATATCAGTCAAGAAGATAAAGACTGAGCAGAGGGATGTAGTTAAGATTCCTTGGTATCAAGTTCCTAAGCCAATCCTGGCCCTAGGATATTTTAGGGGGACATTGTTCAGTCACCAGATCTAAGCTCCCACAGACTTCTGTTAGAACTGGATGTTATGATGAATTTTAAAGGTTATTGAAGAATACATGATATGAGTGTATATTAGTCAGTTTTCCATTGCTGTAAGGAAATACTTGAGGCTGGGTAATTTGTAAAGGAAAGAGGTTTATTTAGCTCATGGCTTTGTGAGAGAAGCTCCAGACATCATGGGACTGGCTATGGTGAGAGCGCCCTACCCCCATCTGTGTCACCTCATGGCGGATGCTTTCGTGGAGAGACTGTGCATGTAGACAGGAGAGACTACAGGCAAGACAGGAAGCCGGAACTGGGCCCCTCAAGAACTGTTAATCCTTCTGAGGACCAAGGGACCTAACAACATCCGGTGGGTCGGGCCTCTTAAAGGTCTCACCTCGTAGCACTGCCATATTGGGGACCAACACGTGGGGCCTTGAGAGACACTCAACGCCAGAGGTGAAATCAAGGCCTATCTGTGGATAGTATTCGTGTTAGTCCTCCACCCTCCAGGTACTTGCTGTAAGCCTTCACGATCTTTTTGTTCATAGAAATCAAAAGCTCTTCCCTG